TCTCAGTGCAGTTAACATCGACTACCAAAAACCAAGCACAGCTTACCCATAGAAAGAGTGAGTGAGCCATTCCTTATGTTTAAGTAACAGGTATCTCCCAACTGGCAACACTCCCCTTCCAACAATGCTTCTAGTTTGTGTTTGTAAATATCAAAACATGTAATTTATCAAATCAAATACAAATGCTAATCTGGCAAGCTTAAGTTTCCTTAGTTTCAACAGCTAAAGTCTTTGAGTAAGCATTCTGTACTTTTTAACCTTTTCATTATCTCAGTGTAAATGCCTCCAGATAAAACAACCACAGCCATTATCAATAGCTCTGAAGTGATTTAAACAGAAGGAAAAATGCTACTTCACAATTAGATACCAGGAGGCAAGAAAAATGAGAACAAGAAGGCAGCAACAGAAGGAGAAGATTCTCACTAACAGATAAGAACAGGTGGGCAACTCAAAATAAAACAATGATTAACAGGTAACTTTCTCAAGACAGTTTGATGAGCAGCACTGAACAGTGAGACTGAACAACAGCATGAGTTCCAATTTTTGCATTGCTGGTTTTGAAACAGCCGTATGTGAAACAGGCAGAAGCTGTTTTCCTCCTTTCTCTCCTACACCATGGAACCAAAACCACAATTCATAAACATCTTTCTGTACACTATGCAGGTCATTATCCTTCTTCTCTGCAAATTTATAGGGTTTTAGTGTCAATGATAAAAGATCATCAGGGCAGGAAGGAAGAAATATTACAACACTTGATATGAAAATTTTAATTGCATTTTTTGGGAAAGATATTTGCAACTTAAGCTAAAATCTCTGCCAATATTGAAATAATTAAAAAAATATTCCAAATCAGGCATAAACTTTTAGCTCCCCCTTGCAATATTTTACAGTAAAGGAACAACTGAGAAACAAAGTAGAAGTGTTGTCTGGGCAACAATCCTTAACAGATGGATAAAAACAGCTGAAAAGAAACGAGCCACAAAAAAGCAGCTCAGTGCTTGCTGATATTTTCAAAGTTTTGAGGCTGTTGATGGAAAAAGCTCAGTAATTGTATATAGCAATTCAACTCACATAAAGCATAAGTAGAAAAAAAGAAATCATAATCCAAGGAGCAGGAGAGGTCGTTGGGTTTGAAGGAAGAATTTCTTAAAAAGAAGGAAGGGAAGAAAAACAAAAATGCTGAGAAGACAAAAAACAGACATCCCCCACCCACTGAATTACTTCTACAAAGTGGAAGATACATTGCTGCGTGGTATCCAGGCTGATCACGTAGATAAAACAGATCCAATATTGGCTGCCTAATAAGGCTTCCACATCTGTCAAAAATAACTACCTTAAAAAAAACAAAAAACACAACAAACATTTAAAAAGGTTACTTTTGTGTGTGTGCTCCTTTCCCTCTTAGTGGAGTGATTATCATCTAATTATTGGAATCAAAAGCACGCTATTGACAGCTGCCTGCTGTCTTTACTCTGTTGATGTTATGCTAACAGAAAGTGTGTTTTCTGACAGCCTGGCAACAAGGAAGAAACTGAGATGTAACAATGGAGCCAGTTTAGATGAAAAGCCCTGGCAAGGAAGCTGCCAAGACAGTAAGGCTCCCCAAGTCCAGCCTACGGTGCTTTGTGGAGAGAGGGAAGCCCAGTCTTTGCTGGAAAGCAACCCTGGAAAGAATGAATGACAAAAATAAATAAGTAAATGAACAAATAAAGCACAGCCTATTCTTCTGTCCCAACCCTATGACAATGAGTGGCCACAAATGTTTAAAGCTATTTTAAGACTGGCACCATAAAAATGTTAATTCTTGCAGTACCCAAGTCTCCATATTCAGATGTTGATCACATCTCAGCGAAGGATAATTTTGGTATCATCCCTGAAACCCCTCAATTTTTCATTAAAGCCAACCTCTACCTACAATAGGAGAGAAATTCTGAACAGTGGAGAAATACCCACCAGACCCTTGAGCACTTTTTGCATTTTGAAAAGAAAAAAAAGTATGGAGCGCAATCACAGCAAGGCCATTTACTACTTAGTAGAAATTCTTCAACGTAGCTGATACCAAGGCATTCCAACACATAGGCCTGGGCCTTTTTCATATGGACATAAAGTGGCTTTTAACTTTGACCTTATGTAAAAAAAAAAAACAAGAACAACAGAAAAACCCACAATCACCTTCAGTAACAAAATATAAACAAAAACATAAAAACCAAGTTCAACATTTTTTTCCTCCATCTTTCCCAAGAACAGCCTTAGTTGGCTGCAAAGTAAAGAAATAATTTCATAAAAGAAACCTTGCATGCTTTACTTTCATAATTATTGTGGTGAAGCCAATAAAAGATGCTAGGAATGACCACACAAATGGTAATTTCTCTCTCCGTATCCCTTGCACAATCTCTTTTTGGCTTGACATGAATTATCCAGAACAAAGGCTACGGACGGTGCCTTAACATGATCAGATATAATCAAACTTATTGTCACTCAAGTACCTTGAACGTACTTAATCAGCAGCAAGTGAACTCCTAAGAACCCTAAGAGCTCTGGGTTCAATTTCTACAATGTTTTAGAGAAGAGCTTCAAAGGAGCTGCTAATAGACCAAACATCCTTCTTGAATGCACGCAGGAAATAAAACTCTAGAAGATGTAGATACAATTTACAGGCTGAAAAATCTTTTTCTATTGAAGGCCAGAGAACAGGTAAGTTGTGGGAATTACAGAGTGTAAGCTGGGGAGGAGTCCAAAAGGATCACAAGGATTTGAATGTGGGTATAAACACCTAGAAAAAAAAACCTCACAGAAGATCCACTGATCTGAACAATAAGCGTAGCAATAATTCTTTATCTGGGTTTTATTTACAGCATAATATTTTTGAATGGATAAAGGGGGAGAAATGAAAGAAACAAAGAAAATATGAATTAATAGGTAGTTACATTAATGTATTTGAGGAACAAAACTGTTCCTTCCAAAAAAAATCATGTTGTCTTCTTTGCAGAGAAGAGAAACAAACAGCCTTGATGCAAGAAGAAAAACTGAACTACATTACTGAAGTCTTAAAAAAATATTTCTTAGGGAAAAAATCTCTAAGAAAATGGCTCACTAGATCACGTGAACGCTTTTAAATGAAGTGCAAAACAATACAGTGAAATAGACATTGTTTTTCTAGGACAGACCCTGAGTCCTGAGACTCATTTACAGTCAAAAGAAACACTGGGGCATGCACTCCAGTGTGTAGTCCTGTGTATCACAGGATGAGAAGGAAGCAGTCCTGAGAATGTTTTGCTTAACATACACTGATTCCGTGTAACACCTGCTATACAACAATATGCACTTAGGTATCTAAAGTCACTTTAAAAGGCTTTATTTGGAATTTAAGCTCTGTACTTTTTTGAGCACCTTACGTGGGATGAAGCTTATGATCTTCACCATTCCAATTAAAATTAAAATCCATCCAAAATAAATCCATGAAAATAAAGCCTGCTTTTTACTAGAGAAAAAGAGTAAATTTCACAAAAGTGTTGCTTCAGTCTACTTCCTGCCACGCAGACAAAAGAAAACAACCACAAAGCTCTTATAGGTATACATATACATACACACACACACACACACCACACTCATATATAAAACTTATAAAGCTCTTACATATATATACACACACCTAAGAGCTTTGTGTTTTTTTCATATATAAGTATATATATATACAGACATATGTATACACACATATATACATACATATGGCTTTATGTGTGTATATATCCATATACAAGCACATGGACACAAACACACACACAGACTCTGCCTGATGAAAATAAAGCACCGATGACCATGCTGTTGAACACAGTAATTAATCACACCACAATGTTTTCTCTCGTCAGTATCCTCCACTGGTACTTGTAACCACATTTGTGTTAAGAGAAGCTTTCAACCATCTGAGTGGGTGCAGGTGCATCCAGATATGTTTTCATCTGTCAGTTCCAAATCTATTGAGTCTTCTTTCAAATCCATTTAAAATTTACACAGTTCCCTAAGTACGTATGGGACAACCGTCAAGTCATTTCTGTAACAATTAGTTACCTTCTAGCATGATGACTAGAGCTTAAACAATGTTTTGTTCTATTAGAGCATATAAATATGAGATGATGTCTCAGGAACCTGCAGCCTGATAATGACGAATTTCAGGTCCTGCAACAATTCCCTTTTTCAGCTGCAAATGAAGTACATTACAGAAAAGCTACAAGCTAACAATGATTTGGATCTTCATGAACTTTAGAAGTCGTATTTTAAAATGCATTAATTTCAAAGTTAATGCAAATTGGTTGAGAAAGGACTGTAGAATACACTTACAAACCTACTGAAGAATATGATAATGACCATAACATTATGTAAACCAAAGTCATTCGCGACTCAACACCTGCACCTTCAGGAAGTTGGTCTCAATAGCAAAAAACAGGACACAACCAATGTTATATTCAACAGCAAACTTAACAACCTGGTCTCAACAATGCATGTCTAGTATCAGAGATACCTTTATAGGTAACAGTCCATCCAGCCTCACAACATCAAAGCACATGCCGACACGCGCAAGGAAATGAAGCCATCAATCAGTCAGTAATATAAACACTGATACCTGCACTCACATGCCTAATTCTTCAAGTTAGTTAGCTGACAGGGTGTGTGTGTGGGACAGAAACCTTGACAAACCCCTCCAGTTCTAACAAACAGAACACAAGCAAAGTTAGTAGTTCTTTCCAAGAGTTCCCACATATCTTCCTGGTAGTAGCCTAGTGTAGACACTTTCAATCCTTAGCAGTCAACCAAACAAGCTCGTGTTCCTAAAAGCTTTTAAAAATGTTATTTTTAATGTCTCCAGCATCATAAGTATTATTTATTGCATGCAGTTATTTATTAAAAATATCATCAGTAATCAGCATTCACTCCACATATTTCCCATATCAGCCAAGCAAGTTCTTGATCCGCCAAAATACCGCACTGTTCACCTCACTGACCTTGGGGCTGCCTTCCTCCAGTATTTCTCCCTCATCAGTTTGCATGGGAACAGGATCTGTGCAAAGCTCTGCAGAAATGCAAAATACTGCCTAAAAGAGAAAAAGAAATATGTATTTTTAAAAAGAATTATTTGCTGCCTTTAACAGTGGTACACATGAATAGTAACTCCAGGCTACGATCTTCCGCTCACATTCTGCATATATTCCCTGAATTTCTGTTTTGTGCAAACAGTAAGGCATCTGCTGTTCAGGATAAAGACACAATTCTACTTAATGAGAAGAAAGCACCTAGCAGGAAACTGGTGTCTTTTCCATGCTAAAATATGTCATTGTTGAGTATTTGTTGCATTCATTGTGTTTGTGATTAAAGCTACAGTCAATACAGAATAATTACAGAGAGTAGAGGCGAGCACATTTTTCTTACTGGAAAACAGCTTTTGTGCAAATACAAGATTCACAGATTCAGCTTACAGTCTAAAGGTTATCAGTCTGAAAAATTGTCAAGACTAGCAGTCATCCTAGGAGTAACTCTGAATTCTTATTTCAGGGAACTTTTCTTTGACTTCGTTTTAGAAATAAATACAGTCTAAGCTCTAAACGGTTCAGGAAGCAGATAAAGTCAGTCATCTTTACGTTGCTATTTCCAATCTAACCAAGGCCAACAGCTCCCAGCATTTTCACTGTTCAGCACTACTTGGTAACTTTAATTTGTCTGACAGTGTCCGTGCATTTTTATCTGAATAAATTCTACATTCCAAATTCCTACCTTAAAATTTTAACTTACTGACAAACGCAATGCAGTTAGAAAGACTTTAATTAAAAAGTTCAGGCAACCTTTCACTTCAGAGCATAAGCAGTGTTTTAGGTGCAATTCAGCAGGAATCGCTAATTCAAAAAGGCAAGATATCTGCTATTAGCAAATCCATGACATTCCAGTTCTGTGGAAAGTAAGGGCTCACGCTGTTTAAAACTCTAAAGCAAGGAGCTGGTTAGCCTTTAATAATTGTCCCTCTCAAGACGCTTAACTCCCCAACTGCACCAGCATTTACGTGCCACTAAAAGTCTGCATGCCATATCTGCTCCTCAAACTACACAGGTGCTGACTTCAATATCGCCTTCGCTGCAGTAATTTCAAGCCTAAGAACTGAAAAACTCAAGAATACAAACTGTAATGAAGAGAAAGCTTAAAAATCTGTCACAGATACACCTCTTCTGTCAAAGTTAGAGGCTGTTCATAAACTAAGGCCGTACTGCCTTCTGTATTTTGTGCAGGTAGAAAATATCTTTCACGGCTATGAAGTTGACACAAGAATTGAAGAATACATTCTGCAAACAAAGGGTCTGGAACTACAAAATGCTGCATACAGCTTATCAAGCCTTGCAACCAACAAACTGTTATGTTCATTAATATTACATAGTCTCAGGCAAAGCAGCAGCATTTTTCACAGACTTGCAGAATAGTAATGTCCTTACCTGGGTAAAGATGGGGATAAAGCAGAACTCTCACCAAAACTGCCTCCCTCCTTCTTTTCACAGGGTGTGTGAGATCTCAGAAGAATTTCACCCTACTTCTATGGTAGGTTCAGTTACAAACAACTTTATTTCCCCTTTTCAATGAATGCTAAACCTTTGAACTAGCACTGTCACTACAAATGTGATGCTCCATCTTACCCTGTATTTCCACATGCTAGCACAAGGCATAACAGGTACAACCTTTCAAAATTATGAAAATGCTTTCTGAACAACCCATGAACTTGAAATGGGCAGGTTGTACAATCAGTGCCACTGCTGAGAGAATATATTGATCATTCTTAAACCTAAGATTTAACTTAACAAATCAAGCACGCTGTGTTTGTCCAAAACCACCTCCAAATATTCAGATGGGACTTTTTGAAGTGCATGAAATAAGCTAATTGAGATCCAACAGATGCTGAAAGTATTATATCAGCTAGCAGTATAAGAAGATGCATTATTTTATTCCTTTGGTGCCCCAATCCATTGGACGCAAGTTAACTACGAATGCAGTGTGACAAAACAGTTCTTTCTAACACAACATAAACCAGTGCTCTGGAAACATCTTCAGCTTTCATCCCCTTCCAGAAATTCTACTGTAAATTATGAAAGGGGAATAATCAATTCATACAGGATCAACAGCAGATTAATCTAAATTTCAGCCCTGTCTGCAGCATGTCTCTGAGCAACATTAATGAATGCGGGTTTGTCACTTTAACAAGGAGATTAAGTAAACAAAGGCAGGAACATCTCAAGTGAAATACTGTAAGAAATGCTCCTAAAGGAATTTGGAGTTAGGCTCTATTAGCAGTGAAATCCCTAAGCACAAGATATGTCTGCTGGAGTAACTTCCCTTCTAACAAATGAAGGCTGATAAGGACAGACAGTGGGGAAATTACAACTGTGAGGCTGATAGAGAGAAGTTATTCTGCCAGTACTCAGAAGTCAGAAGTACCAAACGGTAGGAAGATGCGTGTCACACACGTGTCCAAGATCTCCAGCGAGGCAAGCGCCCTGAGCACGGCAAGGGCTCCGGCAGCCAAGGCCTGGGCCCTGTCCATGGTACTTTGCCACACTGCATTTCCCAGCCCGACCCAGATGTGCTGGGGCACAGGCTTCCTCACCTCGCTTGGCCACATCGCGTTCAAGCAATTGGGAAGCTCCACAGATTGCTGGACAGACAGCGAGCAGCACAAGAGCCAGAATGGCTTTGGCCAGAAGGACTGGTGGGGCACCCAACTGACTTCAGATCGGAATTACAGGAAAGATGGAACTCGAGATGCAGAAGCGCCAAAGAAAGTTCATAAAATAAAGCAAGATCAATCAGGTCAAAGACAGACCACTGCGAGGACTTGTCACTGTTCATTAGGAGTATTATGAACCTCAGAACTCCTATGTTTATTTTCAGAGAAGATTAAAAAACAAAAACAAAAACAAGAATCTTAAAAATCAAGGAAAAAGAGAGGAAAAAAAAGGAGAACTATGAAATAAAATTAGAAAAAAAAAATAGAAAGGTTACAAGAATAACAGTAAGCAAGTTCCCTCATAGTGGAGAGCCTAAATACACGAGAACAATCCATAGTTCAGAGAGCAAATGAGAAGCAGAAGCAACTGCAATGGAGAAGGAATATATATATATATATTTTATATATAATATAAATATATATATATATATATGACACTTTTCACTTGCCTCACAGTTCATCCACAATTCATGTTTTATCAGCTGTAATGTTCAAAACATGATTGATTTTACTATTCAAACAACATTCAGCTAGCATGAACTCATTCACATGGGATGGCAAGAAGCTGGAAGTTAAAAGGCTCTAATTTGGGGGAAAACAAAAATGCACAAAAATAATCCAGCAGCTGGTACAGGAAGAGCTTAAGAACCTGAAGCCACAGACTGCAGGAGGAAGTTTTGCTGAGTACTATCCTGTAATTGTATTTTTCCCTGTGGTTTTTGGCTTTTTTCAGGCTACAAACTATCGAGTAACAAACTACACGTCCAGTTCAATTCTCTCATTTTTACCTACTTTCCTGGACTCCCCACAAAAGGAAGGATTCACATAGCCACTAGCATAAGAATGCTGCATTTCAAGCTTCCTCATTGCCAAAAGCAGACATCTGGGGATTCCCAAATCCCTGAGAAAGCATTTCTACTTTTTTTTTTAGTAGTCATTACAATTAAACATGACTTCTCAGCCAAGGAAGCAACTGCCTGGTGCCAGTATATAAAGAATCAACACAGTTATTCCATGCTGTTGGCAGTGTCAAATCTCTTAGGCTTCTGAGCAGAGGGTGAAAGATCACACTTGGGGTAGCTTTCTTACTTTGTACACAGAGGATAGAGAGGCAGGTGGTATTATGGTCCTGGAAGATTGAAAAGCAGGCCAACAAAACGAGTAATGTGATGCACCATGTTCCCTGGGGATAAAGTTACATAAAGTTTACAGACAGTCCATTTAAGGTTTCAGATCTGAAACCTATGAACAGAGCCACTCTTGGAAAAGATCAAAGCACGATAATCCCCTTCTTCCATTCTTGCATATACGCACCAAAACTACTTCACATGGGAACTGAAGTCCCTCAGCCTTTTTATTCATCTGAAGTCTTCTGGAAATACTTACCAACTTCAGCATGAGTGAAAAGCACCCCAGGGAAAGTCTGACAAATGGCATACAGGTATGTCAGCATATTCACCTACCTAGCAGATGCATATCTAAAGTTAGTAACAGCTTTTAACTCTAAACCATAATACAGCGATTAGAAGAGGTAGAGACACTCACTAATGTGAACTTGCTATCATTCTCACAAGCCTTAATGCCTAAGATAACATTATCCTATCATAAAGTTATTACTTTCTGGCCAAATCAGCTTAATGTTTAGTTCTGTGTTCCACCACTTTCTGAAACAAAGATGTACAGAATTTATTCAGCGGTAACAGGATGATGGACACAGCTACCAGTTGTAAATACAGGGTAAGCACAACAGTGGAGAGCAGCTGTCTTCTCACTACTGTATTCTAGAAAATTTTGGCAACTAAAACCTAGCCAAACTTCCATACGCTCACAAATCCCTCAAGAGTAATTCCAATGAACAAGGTACTTCCTCAGCCTGACTTTCCCTCACATAGAAAGGTCGATTATTCAGAAACATAACAACCTCATCAGCAAGGGTGTTGGAATCCAAATGTACTGAATTTTGCTGGGTGTCAAACAGTCACCATCAGAACTAAGCACCTCATCTAAGAAATGGGTCTTTCAGCACTACTTCGGATTGCCAGTAGAAATCACAGAATAAAGAGGAAAATAGCATCTTTCATATGATATAAAGAAGTGCTTTATAATGTAAAATCAGTTGTGGTTCCTACGCACTGTGAAGTCTGAATCAGATATGGCCCACAGGAAAACCCTCAAAGGACAGCAAGGCTGTTACCATTACAGATGGTGAGCAAAACCTGAAGGTTCTCTCATGAGCACCAAGCAAAACAAACTCACAAATGCCCTTCAGAACACAGCAAACTTGTATACATGCTATACTTGAAAACAGGAGTTCAAATGAAGGTAGTACTATACAGAACTATGTCTCAAATGAACCTGTTCATTTTACTAACACAACGGTTTTGACTGATCACTGCAATCACTGCCTTTATGTACGCGTTCAGACAAAACTGTGTGTTTTTTTTTCTACAGATTATCTAGCTATAGCATATGAAATTGCCACAGTTTCACATTAAACAGAGTTTTTCTCATTGTACATAAGCAACAAGAATTTAACATATGGAAAAAGAAGAGTTTTTGTCATTTTAAATGAGAGTTACGAGATACAAGAAAAGAGCATCCAGAAGAAAAATAAAGCTTAAATTTAAATTAATTGTTTACAGGAACCAAAAACTTGCAGATATCAATGACTTTAAAAAGAAGTTAATTTACGATGAGATTTTAAAGAAAGCTACCGTACAAATCAACTGTAGCTGATATTCACAAATCCCATCAGGCAGTGTATAATCAATAGATATCAAGATGTTATAATCACAATATAATCAAGAGAGTTAGGCAAAGTAGACAACCATAACAAAAAGAAAATAAGTGGAAGAGCTTACCCTTCGGCTGGGCTCACCACAAAACACCAAGAGAGGTGATCTCCAGAAGAGACCCTTCCCCACTGGCAGCCAGCTCTTAAATAGGTCTAGGAGGAGTGGAGCCTGGCTCCACCCCTTCCGGCAGCACAGGTGAATTGCCTTCAGCTGTGCTCCTCTGGCTGACTCATGGCTCGCCTCAGGTGATCCATCAGAGGTTCAGGCCGTGACTCAGCAGTTCCCATACAGGCAGTTACATGAAGAAATCTTTCATACCCAAACCCACCAGAAATAACACATTAGAACATATATCTGATGGCAGCAACGTATTGTACAAATGATTAAAAATTAGTATGGGTAAATGTTCATCTCACCTTCAATTTTCAAGAATGCAACATTGAACTTTAGTCAATTTTTACCTTTGACAGTTTCCAAGGGCTGCCAAAGCCCACAAGGATCCGTCCTGGCTACATTCAGTGCAAAAACGAAACCCTAGAAGACAATAAATAAATAAATAAATTAAATAAATAAATAAATAAATAAATATGTATATATATAAATAAATCAGACATCCAACATGGTCTTTTCTAGATAAAAACCACATAGAAATGAAAGACAATTGCCTCTGAAGCTCAGCAACGCTTACAAAGTATTTAGAAAATGTTATAGTTATCTTGTCAGACAATGTGGAGTAAACAAAAACTTCTAATTGCAAAAGAGCAATACAGGTTCCTCTCCTCTCCCTCAATGTAATGTATGCAGTATTGTGGAGATGGGGAAGAAAAAGAGCTATGGTTACACACACTGTTACCTAACCCTCTCTCTTCAGTATTCTACCTCAACTGCCACCCTAATCTAGGAAATTATTCTCTAAACACAAGAAATTCACATGTTGCAAAATGATTTATTTGCTGATCCGTAGGATCAAATTTTTGGATTTAAGTTTCAGCAAACTTAGACTTCTACAGAATAAAGTTGCACCACTCCTGGAAATGCATTTTAAGCTACCTCCAAGAAAACCCTAAAACCACAACACAGTTTATTAATTCAAGATAATTATTACTCACCCATCCCCAAACAATTAGGCCAACAACCAGTACTGAGAAAAAAAAAAAAAAAAAAAAAGCTTATCCTACCCGCGAAGCCATTTAAGAGGCAAGAAAACCATTTGATGAAGACTGACAGTAAGCTAACCAGCCACCAGAATGCTGCAGCCTGACATTAAATTCCGCCTAAAAACACATCTTGCATGACAGAAACATCAACCTGATACAGAACAGGATATTTCTCTTCTGAGATTTTACTGTCATTATCAAAGCCTGTAGAAACTTTGCCACTGTTGGGAGGAGGGAAAGGAAAAAAAAAAAGAAGAAGAAAACCTTTTTGTAGTTTAACTCAGCAAGCAGTTAAACATCACACAGACATTCATTCAGTCCCCACCGCAAACGGGATGAGAGAGAGAACTGGAAACTAAATACAATTCATGGATTGCGATAAAACCTATTCAATAAGACAGAAGAGGAAAATGGAAACAAATATGCAATGGTAACTATATAGATTCAGCCACAATGCAATTACTCGCCACATGCTGACTGAAACCCAGCTAACAATACAACTGCCTGCCAGCCAGCATCCTGCCAATACCACTACTGCCCACCATCCGCCATCAACTAAAAACCAGCAACCCCAGAGCAGCAACTGCCCCTGGGTAAGTCCCCCTCAGTTTTACAGCCTCCTGTATGATGTCAGGAGGTACAGAATACTCCTTGCCCAATTCAGGCCAGCAGTCCTGGCTCCACCCTGCCCTCTGCCGCCACACCATAAAGGCAGCGGCTCTTGCCAGCGAGCCGCCTGGCCAGGCGCCAGGTGAGCACCATCATGCAGCAGCAAGCAGTGCAGTGGCACACTACTAACACTACATACACATACACACACGTTAGCGTTTTCTCATTACTATCATATTACCCCTTTCACAACAGTTTTGAACTGCTTGATCTATTTTGAACCGTTACTTATCTGCAGGTACAGGACTGAAACAGCCTTCCATCCAGAAACGAACACGCGAAGCAGTACTGACTCACAGGCACAGCACGCGATCTGCTCAATCACTTTGAAATAGTTTTCCAAGTGAGCACTACCACCTTAATGACTCGATGTCCCAAAGGCAGTAGCAGCTTCGTACCTAAAGTGAGGATGCTTTTTTTAAAACAAAGCAAAAAAACAAACAAGGCATTTTTAAATTGTTGCTACAAACTGAGGTTCTGGAGAAAGAAGTCTAATAAAACTCTCAACTCCCAATCTATTTTGCAATAAGTGAATGCACACCCACACCATTGTTTGTAAATGCTCTATTTTTCCCTATTGATTTCTAAATGCTATAGAAAAGAAATGAAAATTGAATTGTTCAACTAAACGATTATTTGTCATTCACCTCCCCGAAACATCTCAGAAATATCCAGCAAGCCATTTAGAACAGTATTATTTAACCACACAACACTTTACAGGTGAAGTAAAAGACTTTTGTCAGCTTAAAACACGTATGTGACATCTACCCCCATCCGATGAGAATATCAGCCAAAAAGCAAGACTAACATCTGTGCTGCTTCAGACTGAAAAAGATCTGAAGGTGGTTGGCTTTCTGGGCTATCATTTTATGGGCTGCATTTAAGAGAGGGGTGGCAGCAGGGAGAGGGAGGTGACTCTCTGCCCCAATACTCTGCCCTTCAAATCCCCAGCTGGAGCACTGCATCCAAGTCCGTGGCCCCCCCAGTACTGGAAGAATGTGAAGATGTTGGAGTGGGTCCAGAGGAGGACCTCATCTTAGAATGGCCCTCTAAGATGATCAGAGGGCTGGAGCAGCTCTCCTATGAAGAAAGGTTGAGGGAACTGGGCTTGTTTAGCTTGGAGAGGGCTCTGGAGTATGGATTCCTATCTCTAATAGAAGGCCTGTAATGAGTATCTATTTAGAAGACTGATCATTTTCCTACCGTTACTGTAAAAAATATAAAGCTATGTTTCTAGCACAATAACAATGTTAATTAGCAAACTGGCTCAAAAAACTCGAATCCAGCAAAACCAGACTGGGTTCAAGGCAGAACATGACATGCAGATGAGTAACACTGCAAAGATGGTACAGCAAGGAGAATCCCAGCCTTTGCAGCAGTCAGAAGAGAATGTAAATATCATGGATACATCTCTGAACTCAGATCCTCAAATTATCTAATTCTGTCAACAGCTAGCTTTTGGGATGTGTCAGCATGCTCGTCTGCATTGCAAAGAAAAAATTATTAAGAAAAGCAGACACAGTTCAATTACATAGCCACCAACTGCCCAAGGGAAGGAAGAGGGGAGCGAAAGCAAAAATGAAAGCAAAGAAACCCCAGCCACAACTTAGGCACCTCTGAAAGAACAAAGTTGGGAGGGAACCTACCTTCCCCCCCCTCCCAAAAAAAGTCTGACATGTCCTAAGTACTAACCAGTTAATTACACATACTGATTTAATATCCAGGTGCACTGCAAGATCAGACTCAATGAGTTACTCTGCAATTACGGAAACAATTCAGTATATCTACACACTGCTAGGGTACATAAATTGTCATCCTCTGTCACGCCAGTCCCACATGTACGTACACTGTAGTCTCCACAACATTCTTTATGTAGTTCTGGTTCTAATACAGCCAACTGCAGCAATTCATTTAGCTGAGGTGAGATATCTCTGAAGCTGCACAATACCGTCTACAGAGTCAGGACTTCCAGGCTAGCTTTTTTCCCTAAGTATTTTTTAGGGAGCTCACCAAGTTCATGACTTACAGCAAGTACCTCCTTTCTGCTCACATCACATAAGCTGCCTCTGTAGGAACACCACGGTACCGCAGGTGCACAGAAAGGAACAGGTCACAATCAGTACAATGTCTTCTTCAAACTCTCCCTACAGTCTCCCATTCAAATCTGGATAACACCAGTAACACGTGTGACAGAATTTCCTATTGACTGAGAAATATCACAGAACAGTAGGAAATTGTACAAATGTTTGCAGCTGAGAGGAAGAATGGGGTGGAAACTTGATTAAGAACTGAGATAACGCACACAGGTGCACTCAAGGAAAGTGCTTATGTTATTCTGAGAACTCCTGAGTATTGATTACATGTAAAAATTAATCTCATTAATAATTGTTGGGTATGTAATCCTATTTTGAAAGAATGATGACATACGAACATCACCAAACTGGCCAACACTTAAGCACATTTCAATTAATTCAGAACTCACTACCCTGTCTTAACAACAGCTAAGCTAAAAAATACTTCGGTTTTAGTTTTGCAAGACATAACTGACTTCCAGGAACAAAGAGGGATCCAAAACCACTGGTTTACCACCACATACCCAAGTTAGCAGTGCACAAAAAAAATCTAAATTATTGCAGTGGCTATTATAGGTACTATTAAAAAAAAGAAGTTTAGCATTTAGTTAATCAACAGGTGGCATTTTTCTGGATTCACTGCATCATCCTGCTGGCGACTGCTCGCTCTGAAGGTGTACAGCATCATGTAGTGACAAACTGTTCCTCCCATTGGAACAGCTGGCATAAACCAAAATATATTTTTTTTCTGAGCTTCTGGCACTAAGAGCTTTTTGAGTGTGATTTCCATTCATTCCATTTCTGACTAGCAACAGTACACTTGGAGACAAAAAGGGGGTCCTTGCCACTGCCATTTAAGTATTCCAAAATGTTTGACAGAGGTTAATTTTAAACTCAGTTCCAACTTCCACACCGCAGTGCTTCTGATAAAGCAACAACACGCGCGTGCACTGCACCCCAAAGGCCTCAAGCTGTCTAAAATCATCACCTCACAAAAGCCAGCTGACGTAACTACACAAAAACATGACATATCCAATTAGGAAATAGAGAAGATGGCCCGAAGCAATTCACAACTTCAAAACAGCACAGAAATATTTCTTGCTTTTCACCCCTCCCTTCACCCGCTCCCCATCTACAGCACACCTGCACTGCAAAGGCCGTCATTTACTATAAAAATTGTTCAGGACAATCCACATTTCACCACAGTAGTCCTTTACTGCATTTCACTTCCCAAGACTAAACAGGGAAATGTCATTTGTAATCATTTAGGAACAGTGAAGTAGGAGGAGAGATCCCACTGGTGTCTGAGAAAGAACTGATCACTCTTTTGCAGTATTTAGAAAAACTTATTTGTCCTAATTAGGTGGAAGGAAATCCAGAAGACACACCTGAAGGAAAAAAATAACTACAGATACAATTCTAAACAAAGCATACAGGAAGAAAGGGAAAAAGCAGAAATCTTTTATTATTTTTATTTTTTTAAAGGAAGAAACAGAGGAAACCAGCATTCAGCAATGATAGTTGAGTGCTGCACAAAAAATCACCAGTGTTCTACAAAACATGACATGAGACAAAACATCCATCATGTTTAATTCAGTGTTGGCTGCACAACTTCATACTTTTGTTCAATATTAAC